AAGACTGATTATAAAGTTAAAGGTAATTGCAAAGTTTCAGCCTCGAACGTCGATGGAGTCTACAGACTGGATCAATCAGCGAAGCCACCATCCCAGATACAACATAAAGTTGCTGCGACAACAACGAAGGATAAAATTGCCGAGGCCAGTGAGGAATCTGCAGCGTTGTCGACAGCCGGAGTATTGCGAGAAATCTGGCATAAGCGTTTAGGACATCTAAGTCAGAAAAGCATGACTATGCTTCAAAATGGACTCGTTGACGGTATAAGCTTCAAAGAAGATGAACAGGTAAACCATTGCATTCCATGTATCGAGGGCAAACAAAGAAGAAATTCTTTTCCAAAAGGTGAAGCTAAAAGAGCTAAGGAAAAATTAGAATTAATTCATTCTGACTTATGTGGACCAATGTCTGAGAAGTCCTGGGGTGGAGCGCGGTATTTGCTTACTTTTACGGATGTGATTTCTCAAGAAAAAGTTTTGGTTATTTACTCAAGTCAAAAGGAGAAACATTCAGTGCCTTCGTAGAGTTCAAGAAACTTGTAGAAAATTAGACTGAATTAAAAATAAAAAGGTTAAGGACTGATAATGGTCGTGAATACTGTAATAAAGTCTTTGAAAGTTTTTTGAAGGGAAATGGCATTATACACGAAATGACTATACTTTACACGCCTGAGCAAAACGGTGTCTCGGAGAGATTGAACAAGACCGTAATAGAAAAGACCAGGTCTATGCTGCAGGATTCCGGATTGGAAAAATGTTATTGGGGAAAGGCGGTGACGACTGCGATATACCTCAAGAATCGAAGCCCAACTGTAGCAGTTCAAGGAGCAACACCTGAAGAAATCTGGTCAAATTCAAGGGTCGACGTGAGTAATCTACGTGTATTTGGGTGCAAAGCTTACGCTCTGATACCTGATGAACGCCGAAAGAAGCTCGACAGTAAATCTAAAATGTACATAATGATAGGGTATTGTGAAAATTCCAAAGGATACAGACTTGCTGATCCTTCAGAGCCTGGAAAAGTAATAAAAGCCAGAGATGTGACATTTATTGAAGACACTATGAATAATGAACCCGTTAAAGAAATTGGTAAAACATGTTCCTTTAATCAACAGATCGTGAACATAATTCCAGAACCTGTAGTTCAAGTAGAACTCTCGGAAGGCGATGGAAACACTGAATCTGAAGATGAAAGTCAATCTTCAGGGGAAGGATTTGACCCTAAAAACTTATCGGATGACGATGAAGCTTCGAATGACTCTTCTGAAAGTACGCTGACTGCAGAAGAAGAAAATGCGACTATAATTGAGGAACAAAATGTACCTGAAAGGAACAACGATGGAAGGCCTGTGCGTCCACGTTGTGCTCCAGAACGGTATGGCGATTATGATATGTCGTACATATCTTTAAGCTCTAGTTCAATTGATGATGAACCGCGAACATTTCAAGAGGCAGTTTCATGCAAAAATGCAGTTCTTTGGAAACAAGCAATGTCTTTAGAATATAAGTCATTAATCGATAATAAGGTTTGGGAATTAGTTAATAGACCGAAGAATCATAACGTGATAAAATGTAAATAGGTATATAAAATTAAGAAAAACGCATCTGGCGATTTTGGAAGATATAAGGCGCGGCTCGTTGCCTGCGGTTATAGCCAAAAATATGGTATCGATTTCAATGAAACATTCGCACCAGTTGTAAGACACTCAACAATAAGATTATTGTTTGCTATTGCCAATCAAAATGATATGGATATGAAACATTTAGATGTAACGACTGTATTTTTAAATGGCGAGCTTAACGAACAGATTTACATAAACTACCTATTGGTTTCAACGATGAAAATTCTGATAAAGTTTGTTTGTTAAAAAGAAGCATATATGGGTTGAAACAGGCTAGTAGAGTCTGGAATCAAAAAATCCACAGTGTATTGTCAAGCATCGGATACGCTCAATCGAAGTGTGAGCAATGCGTCTATATAAAGAAAGAAAAAGGTAAATTAGTAATAGTAGCACTGTATGTACACGATTTCTTTGTTTTCAGCAATTGTATGGAAGAGAAAAAGAAATTGACGAATATATTAAAGAGTAATTTTAATGTTAAGTGTTTAGGACCTATAACGGATTGTTTAGGTATGAAAATAGTACATAACAAGGATAAGGGTACTTTGAGTCTGAGTCAAATTCAATCCGTGGAAAATTTACTCGCTTGTTTTGGAATGACGGATGCAAAGGCAGTTGCAACGCCAATCGCATTAAATGCAAAACTTGAAAAGGCTACTGTCAACGATTCAGAATATCCTTACTAACAATTGATTGGCGGACTGTTATATCTGGCTGTATGCACCAAACCAGATATAACATATGTTTCCAGTTTGTTGAGCCAATTCAATACGTGCCATGATAACACGCATTGGATTGCAGCAAAAAGAGTTCTTAGGTATCTTGCAGGTACAAAAGATTACGGACTTGTTTTTGAAAAAGATGATACGAAAATTGAAGCGTTTGTTGACGCAGATTGGGCAGGAGATATTGCAGATAGAAAATCATATACAGGATTGGTATTCAAACTTGGAAACTGTGCTATAAGCTGGGAGTCAAGAAAACAGAAAACAATTGCGCTCTCTAGTACTGAAGCTGAGTATCTTGGATTAAGTGACGGAGCTAGGGAAGCTAGTTTCATAAGAAATTTACCAGGTGAAATATGCAATAAGCTAGAAACGATTGTGATTCATAACGATAGTCAAAGTGCGCAAAAGATTGTTAAAAATTGTCAACATCATAGGCGCACAAAACATATTGATGTTAGGCATCATTTTGTACGAGATGCGATGGAAAGAAAAATCATCGACATTAAATACAAACCAACAGATGACATGGTTGCAGACGCATTAACGAAACCATTGCCAAGTAACAAACATTGTCATTACGCCAAAGAATTAGGATTAAGACGTGTTTGATTAAGGGGAAGTGTTAGAGCATGAACTATATTATCAACTATTTAGATATAAGAACTCTATATAGATTAAGTATGTCTAGTGTTTTTTTTTGTTTTACTTCCGTTCCTTCTTCTTCTTCGCGATAACGCTGCAATATGTACACATGGTGAATGAATTATATTAATTATCACTTTCCATCCACCGCTAAATTATTGTATTTTTCCAAATAACCAACATATATATATATATGTCAAGATCATTGAGATCGGTGAAGTCGTCCCTAATATGCATAATTACCAAAAGATTTAAAATTTTGAATACTGTAATATATGTTTTCGTGGGCGTGGGCGTGCGTGTGGGTATGGGTGTGCGTGCGTGTGTGTGTATGTGTATGTGCGTGTGTGCGTGTATGCGTGTATGTGACGTATTACACAATGTTACTTTAAGTGATGTCTGATATTTCGCGAAAAGCTGAATTTAAAAAGTCTAGTATCCCAGTTAGCAAAACCCTAACAATAAGTTTCTATATCATATCAAAAAAATGCATCAAATCTAATTCATGTTTACCCGTTTAAATGTAGCTGTATTTGATTCACTTTATTATGATTTATTATACTTACAAGTGCACTTTTTTCCCGAACTAACAGCATAAGATAGAATAACGACAAGTTGATTATATCAAAATTGATTATATGAAACTAGTTTGTGTGTAAAATATTTTTTATTCATTGCATATCACATTAATAAACATCTATTCATTTTTTGTTTTTAGTTATTTCATTAAAAATGCTTGAAAGCAAAATTAAAATCGCGATCAATAAAGATCGATAAAAAATTTCTATGAAAGATTTAAAAATTGAAACACAATTATGGCTTTTTGTAATTAATATATCTTGAGAGAACTTCTCGTCGAGGATTCGCCACTCCTTATATCACGATATCATTTAATCCGATCTCGTTTGATAATTTTTGTTGTATCCAAGTGTTAAAGCTTCTTACATTTTGTAAGCTTTTCGGCGAAAGTTTTGAAAAGTAGATTTTTCGATATTTACCGTCACCAATCACCAAATAAGCTTCACTGATAGTACTATAATCGTAAAGATGTTAATGGCATTATTGTCCAGTTTTGATTGGTTTTTAATGATGCATTTATGTGAGTTTGCGTTTATACTACAGCGATCAGTATTCGCGACCATCATCCTTTATTTCGTATTGTAATCTCTTGTATTAATTTATTATTCCGATTTTAATCTCAAAAAGCATTTGATGTTCGACGATTGATGATTGTGAGAAATAATATTTTTCCATAAAATATTTCCGGATAAAAATATAATCAGACTTAAATCTTTCCTTTAAAATCATTCCATCTGCAGCTGTAAGAAAATGTGATAATATTTAAAAGATATACCAAGAGAATGGTATTTCTTCTTGTACACGGACATCTGTCTAAATATTGTAGGAGACATCTGAAAAAAACTCTCCGAAGCGTAAATAAAATCAAATAGGAACGACAAAGTATTTTCTTAGTTGGTTCAGAAATCAATGCGCAAACATTTCAAAAATTATCTTTAAAAATTTAATTTAACTATATCGCTACGTCTTTACATATCGCGTGTTTGTTTTGAGTATTAGAATTAAGGAATTCGTAAAAACGACGTGTGAGATTATGTCTATTGCAAACACATTTTCCAAATTTTTTTTTAGATACATGCATTGGTTTCATGCTGAATCGTGTATGTCTGCGTAACGTTCGTTCTTTCAGAAGATCTTACGAAGAATATTTCAAGCTTTATACAAATGTATAAGAATTATACATTCTGAGAAAAAGTCATTACCACATTAATTAATTTAAGTATACATGCTAATCGTTCTAAGATAAAAGTCCAAAAATTAACTACTACTTCTACTATGCTAAATGTACAATATTTGATAAATTCAACTGCCTGTAAATGGTTTAAGTTACGAAAGTTAGGATGCATACAAATATTAATGAATCGTTAATATATTAAACGCAATAATCATTAGTTGATTTAGTGAGTATATCTGAACTGTCATGCCTTACCTGCAAGCTAGTCCTTGTTGTACTCTTTTCCCCAGTCAGTTTCAAATTAGAATTTTTCTGAAAATATTTTTTGATTGAATAAACTCTTGTCTTATTAATGATTTTTTCACGCTATTATAACAAATATTGTGGAAATAGTTCATGAAAAAATTCAGAATTATGAGAAGCTTGTCAAAACAATTTTGAAATGTGTTTAATATATTTTTTATTACACTACTAATTTTTTGCGATAAATAAATATAGTAATCTTATGTAATAAATATAATAATTTAATGTATGAATGTAATTACATTACAAAATAACTGTACTTTGATTTCTATATATTATGTCGTGCATCTCTGATATACATATGTATTAACACATTTGCGACATTGTATGCCACCGGTGGTACACACTAATGTCACTATATAATATATAATGCTTAATAAAATTCCCTATGGTTAAGTCTCCAATATACGCTACGTCGCGAACGTCTTAAATTACGAATGTTTAAAATTCTCAATAATATTATTGTTTTTCCTTTTCTTGATTTAAGTCAAGAATCAAAGCTAAAAAACTATATTTTATATTTCTATAATATTATGTGTGATAGAGAAAAATTATTATGATAAATAAATATAATCAGAAAAAATATTTTAAGATAAAATAGCAATATGTTTAACATAAATAAATTCAGACTCACCAATTGAGATAATCTATCTCGGAATGCCAAAGGATAATTGTCGCTCTCCTCCAATTCTATCCTCTTAGGTAAACCGAAACTTTTGGATTTATTAAAGGTTTTGCTACCTCTCGTTACATTCTTTGGCGCAACGCTCGATACAGTATTATTCTCATCTTTCGCTTTTGGCCTTTTAGTGCCTCTTCTTAAAACTTTTGCATTACTTAGTGGCACTTCGGTACTCTTCGATAGATTATTAGGCAAGATGATCTCGTTAGTTTGATTTCGATTAACTGATGCGGAGGTAGTCGATGGAGTATCGTGACTGACGTAATTAGGTCGGCGTCTAAGAGTCCACCCGGGATTGCCGTGTAATTGCGTCTCGCTTTTAGATGTAGTAGTTCTTAAATCTGCAATAGTCGAAGAAGATTCCTCGATCGAAATTTTTCGGCCCCGAAAGCCTAGACCGTGATTAAAGAAATCTTCCTTCGGAGGTTTCTTCATTCGAGAGTCTTCTTTTCTGTTTTTTTCCTTGCTTCGAGAAGTTTGCTCGGTTGAAGAGAATACTCGGGCAGTTGTTGATGATTTGATCGTCGTAGAAAGAGAACTGAGTGTCGCAATTTTTGTATCCAAAGAAGAAACAGTCGTAGTTTCGGCAATTGTCGCCTTTGGGATAGTAGTGATAATGTCTGGAGAAAATGTGTAATTATTATTAAAACCTTTGTGAAATATTGTGTGAAAATATATTATTTTTCATTGTCGCTATTATCAATTACGATACTAAATTTAAGTTATAAAAATTATATGTCAACTATATGTATAAAAATTATATATCTACATATTTATATACTATATTTGATTCAAAAAACATATTTTTGACAAATATATGTTTTTGGAAATCTTATTGTTAAATAGTCACAAGCAACTAAGCAATATTAAAGTGATCTTTATAAATAAATAAGAATAACATCTTTTTTAAGACATATATTATTAATTAACTAAATAATATTAATTAATAATTTCCCCGTGATTTATACAACAGAATTTTACTCAACGACGATAAAAAAAAATTTTTCTTACCAAGGTTACTAACTGTACGCGACCAACTTCCAGATTGTGCTCGAGCATTTTGTTTATCTATTCTGGTTTCTTTTAATTTGCGATTATTCTTGGGTCTCCGTTTTTCCTCAGATTTGTGTTCATTGTTGGACAAATTGCGTCGTGTTTTTGTCTGTTCATTTGCATTTGTCTCGGAATTAGTATCCACATTTTTGTTTCTGTCATTATTTCTTGCCTCTGTCATGTTTGTGTCTCTCAACTTATGCACGGATCGATTCCTGGAATTAATGTTTTTTGCATTAGATCTACGTCTAGCACTAGAAGATCGTCCGTTTGTCCCCATATTCGCAGTGTCGGCGAATCTGGACGAACTCCGCCGGGGGATGCTTCCGGAAGTCACTGTCTCGGAATTATTTGCATTGGATATACCGCGGGATTTCGATCGATCGGACTGTTTGCTCTTCTTCGTATTCGATCCCGCAATATCGTTGCTTTCCACCTTCTCCTTAATCAGCCTCGAAACTTGTCTCGGAGACATCTTGACGGACGAGAGTGTCGCGGATGTTAGAAGATTGACATTTTCAATTGTTAGAGGAATGTCTACTCTCAAAACACTCTCGGAATTTAATGGCAGAACATCTCGTTCTCTTATACCTTCTTCTTTATGTTTACTAGAGTCGTTCGTGTTTTTTGTATCTATCACTCTTGATACGTTAGCTATCGAGGCAATATTCTCGATTATCGGATATTCCAATCGCGTTTCTTTCTTTTCCAGTTTATCGATTGGATTTCTGTCCTTTTCTATGTGTTCATTTGCTGACCTTCTGGATGGAATTATTTGACTTCTCAATTCTTTCCCGTTGTAACTTGTATAAATCTTTCTTCCCGTTCTTGATCTCGAGTAATCGGGCGATTTTGTAAACACCTCGTCATCCAACTTCGCACTATCTATCCAAACAGAAGATGCATCCGAAGATATTCGTTGAGAAGCCGTCTTCTGTTTCGGCTTTTGTGATTTAGGCGTATTCTCTTTATTATCACCGTGTCTATTCTTCATTATTTCTTCTTTGAACGCTTGTGGAGTATGCAGCTTTAGACGATTTTGAGAATTATCAACACTAGAATTTAAATATCTTGCATTTATCCGTGATGTAACAGCAGAGCCATTAGCCGTTCTTGATAATTTTGATCGCGATCTGAATGAACTTTCCCTCGCGAAATGCGTTTCATGTTTTTCTAAATTGGAAGCTATTTCTGCACGAGAACTTTTATTACGAGGCGACCTGGTTGTCAGTGCAATAAAGTCAGTCGATTCTGACGTTAATTTGGAATGATATCGTGCAGTACCGCGATTTTGTACTTTCTGTCCATCCTAAAAAATATATTACAATTACGTATTTTTGACAATTTAATTGAAATTTTTTTATTTTACAAAATATGTTAAAGTAATGTTAACTTATATTGTCGTACATATTATTTTTTCATTTACAATTCTGAGAAATAAAAAACATTATAAAAAAGTGGAGCCAAATTGCCATTGGTGATGTTCCCTAACTTTTCTTTATTTGATTTCCCAATTAATTTTGTGATAAAATCAAAGATAATTACGAGTAGATTACAAATACATAAGTTTCAAAGTGCCTTTTACCGGTCCAAAGAAAATGGACAAATGTTTGTCATATGGCCGCAACCACGATTTTGTCATCCTTAATGAAAGTTTGTGTGATATAACACTTGATATTATCAATAATAAGAATAAAAATGTTTTATTTCTATAAATTATGTTTAATTTTTTTATGTTGTGGCGTCATCTGTCGGACTTGAAACCTTTGGAATCCAATTTCTTTGGAATGATAAAAGGCTGCACTCTGAAACTTATATTTTTAATCTACTCATAATTATCTTTGATTTTACCATAAAATTGATTTGTAAATCAACTGAAGAAAAATTGGGAAACATATTGGCCGCATACTTTCAAAAAATTAAAAACAGGATATTTTTCAATCATTCTTTCAAAAAATTATTCTAATCAATATTTTTTATACAATAGATAATGAAGACATTTATTTATGTCAGTAATCTGCATTCAGTTAATCGAGGACATCGACAAACGCAAAATAATAAGAAGCGTAAACATTTTTAGAATGGTTTATCAACACTTGAGAAAGTAAAATTATTTAGATTATCAACAATTAGACAGAAATATAAATATAAATACATAAAATAATCCTCTAGAAACATTCTAATTAGAAGTCTCGTTTACATTGATGATAAACAATCGGTAGTCATAATCGTTTAATTAAAATATAGGAAATTGTGATCTCTAATAGAAAAAAGATGAAATGTATTGCATAATCAAGACTTCGTCATCGAGAGAAAGAAAAATTGTAGCAATATTCGTAGATCGATTGCCAGATCTGGAATTCACGGGAAGGTGCCAATTACGCATTTAGGAGGATTCTCTGGAATTGCGATTAACACAAATGATAATAACTGATCTCGGTAGATCAATCGCTTGTCGTTGACAATAATGTCCGATGGATTAATCGCGTTTCGAGTTATTACGACAAATGGATTTTACTCTCGTCACAGATTATACCTTACCATCAAGTTAAATAAGCGACATTAAAACATTCGTGATTGCATTGACTTATTAATGCTCAGGGAAAAATAGTTCTAGAGTGTACATTTTTTATTTGATGTATTTTTTTCTTTATTCTTCGTGCCTGCAATAAAATTTTCAATATTGAAAGTTTATAGACGCGAATAACAGTACTCGTTTTAGTTTCGATCTATCGAGTTTTTCGCGTATTGAAATAGTTTTTATAATTTTGTGTATCAAATTAATTTGCAACAGATTGATAGAACTAAATCTATTTACAGTAGGTCTCAATCTATTTACAGGAGGACACTCGTAGGTGATCCAGAGATATAAAGAGAATCAGCAGATATAGCAATAAGGAGAGAGAGAAAGAGGTAAATAGAGAGAGAGGAGGGGGGAGAGAGAGAGAGAGAGAGAGAGAAGAGGAATGCCTATCACAATTTGTTTACTTCTGGATATTCATGACTTTTAACAAAATAGCCACTAATTTTAATTGTAACAAAATTCTTCTTTCTCATTAATATATAAAGAAATATCTAAATATATATTTTATTAAATTTCTAATTTAAATGTATTTTATATTGTGCGGACGGATATTTATCGGGAATTCCCGATTCAGTGACTTCACCCCGATATTTTTCTCGCCTTCGTCTCTCCAGGGGGGTAAAGAGGGATTATTATAAATCTCGAATTGAGATTAATTTTAAATCTTGGTATAGGACCAAGTAAATTTCGTGTCCTGTGCACATAATCAGTTTCATAGAAAACTTATTTTTCTATAAAACTGACGCACTACCATCCGCGTCTGGCTCTAACTAGTCCCGCGATTATTTAAATTTGTTATATCACTTGAAAGCCTTAATTTCTTAAATTGTTATTATATTATTAATTATTATTAATGTTACTTAACATTATTAGACTTAAATATAGTATTAAATATTATTAAACTATATATTAAATTTTTTAAATATAAGTCGGCGCTGATTGATCAGATTTTACTCAATAATAACTCCTTTATTAAGCGTTATATAAAAAAATGTTACAGGACTTCTCTGTTCAGATTACTGTGCTCTACCCGCTCACGAGCGTTGGCACAATCTTTACCGGACACCCTGTATATTTCCGATAATTGTAAGATTTCTAAATCAGAATTTCTCCGAGCAGTTAGATTTATTTTGAATTCAATTTTCTTCACATTTAATGGTATTATTTACCAACAAACCTTTGGTACACCCATGGGCTGCCCTCTGTCCCCCATTATTGTGGACATTGTACTGCAAGATTTAGAGAAAAAAGCGCTTGGGTCATTAAAGTTCACCCCTCCATTGTATTTTGGATATCTGGATGATATTGCTCTTGCTGTCCCGTCTTCTTTGATCGAATATACATTGAATATTTTTAATTCATTTAACTCCAAGTTACAATTCATATTGGAAACAGGAATAACCAACAGATTCAATTTTCTGGATATCACTATGATTTTAAATAAAAAACGTATAATATATGATTGATTTTATAAACCAACTTTTTCGGGAAAATATCTGAACTTCTTCTCCCAACATCTTATCTGTCAGAAAAGAGGCACAATTATTGGCCTCATTGACAGAGCATTTTTACTCTCACATCCAAAGTTTCACTCCAAGAATATTGAGTTGGTTATAAGAGTTCTTCTCGACAATGGTTATCCATTGAAGCTCATTTTTGAAACCTTTCACGCATGTCTCAAAATATTATTCAATAAGTCGAAAAATAGAAAAATGAATATTAATCAGGGAACGAAGAGCGAGACTCTTTCGTATTTCACTATACCGTACGTTCCCTCTATATCCGAGCTATATATTAATATTACGAGGAATTTTAATGTCAGATTATCCTACTTTAGTCTCAATAAATTACATAATTACATTAGAGTTCACAAAGACACTTTTCCTAAAGCTTCGCACAGCAATGTCGTTTATAAAATCAACTGCAGTAATTGTAACGCCTCATACGTCGGTCAAACGGGCAGACAATTACGTACAAGAATATCCGAGCATCGCAGTCATATTAGATGGAATACGACGAATCATTCCGTTTTAACCGTTAGAATTTAGCATCGCAGTCATATTAGATGGAATACGACGAATCATTCCGTTTTAACCGATCATAGATTAGAATTTAATCACGATTTTGATTGGGATGGAGTCGAAATTCTGGATAGTGAACCTTTGCTTAAAAAGCGCTTAATTTCTGAGATGGTATACATTAAAAGGCAAGAAAATAGCCTTAATTTGCAGACAGACACGGAGTGTTTATATTATGCTTATACGGATGTGATCGATATGTTACCAAAACTTTGGAAGTCTAATGCTGTCTTATTTGTAAACACACCTCTATATTCATATTTACTTTATGTATCGTGCGGTGTAAAGAGACTTGACATTCTGTTGTAACATCCGTGTGTAACATTTGCTTCTGGGTGACTCACTCAAGTTCGATATAATTATATTGCCAGTTATTTTTTAATGTAGTGTATTTTATCGGACAGTCTCTTTCTGTCTAGAAATTACATTATATAACATTTACCATCTGACAACATGGGTGACTCACTCTTGTTCTGCGCATTATTACTGTCACATTTTTGATATAATATATTCCATATGCTTTGTAATTGCGCTGAGGATGGTCCAAAAAAGGGATTGAAACGTACACTTTTTGTGATTTTGTGTATCACGTAATTAAAATATCAATGTATTTGATTGTAATAAACATATGCGTACAAATTACCGTGTTGGCTCCTATTGCCTTTTATGTCTTTCATATGATTATTAAAGGAGAATATATAATATTAAATAATAATATTGTTTAATGGTGTTAATATTATTAATTAATTTATATTTATTGTATAATTATTTATTAATAAATGAATAATTATATTTATAATTAATTATTAATTAATAAAGAATGTAATATAATTAATAAATAAATGATGATGATGATGATGATGATGATGATGATGATGATGATGATGATGATGATGATGACGATGACGATGACGATGACGATGACGATGACGATGACGATGACGATGACGATGACGATGACGATGACGATGACGATGACGATGACGATGACGATGATGATGATCAGATTTAGATTTTATAATTGTTTATTAAATTATTTATTATGGTAAAAAGCGCGCGCCTGTGTTGTTCTAGTCCCACTCTAAAAAAGGCATGTTATTGACCTTGTTGCCTCTTTTCCGCGATCTTGATTGATTGTCTCGTTTGTACGCTTGCTTCACTCATTCGTGTGACTTGCTTCACTCGTGTCATTTGACAATTTGACAGTCTATGTCGTTTGATAGTTCGACAGTTAAAAAAAAGTAAAGTTAAATATACTTAGTTAATATCATGATGTAAGAATACAAGGTGTACCATTGCGCATAATGGCGGCCGAATTTGCAACAGCCAATTAAATTTTTGCCCCAAAAGTTGCTCAAGATTCAAATGTAGAATTATTAGTTATGTTAAATAATAAGTAATTATAAATAATAAGTAATTATAAATTAATATAACATTATAACATGTTATATTTATTATAACATTATTTTATTTTTATGTATATTTTCTTTGTTACACAATCGAAATATTTTCTCTCTTATTTCCTTTTTTCCGTTGCCGATTGCCTTCCGATCTTCTCGAAGGAAACGAGAATTTTTGGATTCGTCGACGAGCACTTTTTTTTCTCCTAACTTAACCTATTGTCAGGGAAGCTGCCATGTTGCTTTTTATGATTTGGGGCAAATCTCTGATTGGTCAAAAAGTAGCCATTATTTTGAACTACTGCGCATCCTCGGGAATGGTACACCTTATATTCTTACATCATGGTTAATATAGAGAGAAAAAGGAAGAAGGAAAGACAGATAAAAGAGAGAGAGAGAGAGAGAGAGAGAGAGAGAGAGAGAAGGAAGAGAAAGAAAGAAGTTTTATTTAAAATTAAAGAAGAGGAAAAATAAGCACGTCGGTGTGCCGCCCGCCTGGTAGTGTGCGCCGCCGTAGTGACGGAGCACTCATGCACACTACCAGGCATGCGGCTAAAGGTGGACGCTGATTTTGGCATACTTTACTCAATAATAACTCCTTTATTAAGCGTTATAGAAAAAAATATTACAGAACTTTTCTGTTCAGTTTACTGTGCTCTATTCGCTCACAAGCGTTGGCACAATCTTTACGGGACACCCTGTATAGTATTGTTATATTATTATTGAGTGTTCTTAGAATATTATTTTGAGTATTTTTATATTATTGTTATATCCAAATTAATTTTTCTTAATTTTTTAATTTAGAAATTTATAAAAAAGTACAAGATGTTCGTAATTTTCTTATTTAAATAAATATAAATTGTTTGTAATTTTCTATTTTACTTCTTTTTAAATTATTGTTTCCCACCCAGGAAGAAATGCGAGGTCGGACATACGTCTATTAAATGTCGGAGCCATCTAGCCTAAAACAAAATCTAGAACTATCTGAATTAGGTGCTATGTAATTTCGTATCATTAAATTTTTTTAGACACAATTAAAATTTAATATTCCCACAATAGCAATGCATTGTTTATGAAACACTCTTTGGGCTGCAAGTCACTTCTCGACATCTAATAGACATTTAATAGACCTCTAAGTAAACATTAACGCAATATATATGTGGCATCATAATAAAAACAGAAATTCTGTTGTTGGAAAAATAATTTCATAAAACGTATTTGTGGTCATACACTAGTATTCACTTCGTATTGTCAAGAACAAATTTCTGACGATATATCATATATGAGTCTGAAGATTGACGATGTTTATACTTCGTTAGCTAGGCGGCTATTTTAATCGACCAATCAGAAAGTGGAACAAGTTGGCGCCTCTCTGATAATCTAGGACTCTAGTTAGCTATACCTGAAGAGAGAAAGAGATAGCATATCGTATGTCTGTTCTCTTTTGCCACCTGCTGAATGTACAGTTATGTGCAATAACCAGTATTAATTGGTCCTTAATGGACATTATGCTTTTACGGAAAAACTGCTAGTGATTGACTGCCGCGGGTTTATAGTTCA